GGAAAATTAAAAAGTCACATTCTTACCATAATGTTGAAAACTATTTCACATCATGTAGGGGATGATATTCGTCTAAGTGGCAGTGAATTGTTCTGAAGAAGCTGTTTGACAACACGCCTGGTGTAGCTTGAAAGGGGGTAGCTAGGCGAGAAGTGGGCACAAAACAATTTATGAGCAGTGCTGGGTGGTGGAAAGAAACCCGCACAGCAGAACTTGGTATGTGCTGTGAGCTCACAGCTGGGAGACTGAAGAAAACATTTGGATGTAGAAGGGAACTAAAATAGAGATATTACAAAGCCTAGGGTAAATACAAAAATAAGTCATAAAGGAATGAGACTATGGATAAATTTAATAAAAGAGGAAAAAGATAGAGTTTATTATTTCTGGAAAGATTTGGTGTAAATCTCTTAGTGTATGATTTACCTCAGAGCTTCTTTAATTCTCCACATAGAAAAAAGTTCCTTTACCCACTCCAATCATAGAGTAAGAAAGTCAGAGCTATCTCAGTGTCTTCTCAGACTTTCAATGCTTCACAATAATGAGAAACCATATGCTGGAAGAGAAATATTAATAGAAAATGCTGTCTTTCAGATGCTCACTGAGTCAATTGAAGGCAGTTGACACATCTTTAGTAAGCTGTGTATGAATCTTAGCTCATTAACTACTCCTGTATTATTTATGCTGCTTCTAATTCCTAATATGACACATCAATAAACCAGATCTGAAAAGGTGTCATTTCGATTTTAATGTATCCAATTGTATTTTTAGATGTTCCCCCACTTAGAAGTGTTTGTGATATTTCCTGATTTTACAAGCTATGGAAGATCTGAATTGGGAAACACAGCCTTCTTATAACCTTCTCAAAAGATTTTGTCCTGACTATGTTGTAAAAAAATAAATAAATTATCCTTCTGTGTGCAGTTTTCCCCTCCAGAACTTTGACATAACTTAGCCACCAAAGTGAATGTGTTGCTCTCTGTTTTTCTGATCCATCAAATATGTGTGGAAGAGGAAAGAGAAAGGAAAACATTTCTGTAAAGTATTCTTCATGAAGAGTGTTTATCATAAGCAGACTGAGGAGCCACCATACATGTTATAAAGACCTCACATGCCACCGCTCACCAGTCAGCTCGCTGATTTCTCAGGCCATCACAAAGTATTGAGGGTATTGTGCAATGCCAGACTGCCACGGGAATTGTGTATTCACCAACTGTCTATGATTCAATCCAAAAATTAGCAACTAAATTTTAATATTCACTGCACCCAGATGGTGTAAGAGCTAGAAATAAAAGGTGAACTAAACCCAGCATGAACCTCAAAAAGCACGAGAAGGAATTTATGAAATAATTACTAACAATTGTTAGTTTTACTAACAATTGTTCTAGGTACAATACATACTAGTTTTTATTACATAGAATTAATATATTTTTTTGGTTTTGTGGCCAATTCAACACACCCTGAGGGCAGAGCTGGTGAGGCGTGTGGTGCCAGGTATCAAACCTCAATCCCGGTCCCTGTCCCTGCATTTGCCAAAGCTTGCCTAAGCAGGCACTTTAGACCGCTGAGCTATCTCACCAGCCCTAGAATTAATATCTTATATATTGTTTAAAGAGAAAAAAATATGTATAAGAACACATAGTTTATAAAAGTTTCTTTTATAGTAATAACTAAATTGTTATTAATTCAAACTAAAGTCTTTCTACTTTAATCCGTACTTTTGTCTCCTGTCCATTCACTAGCTCTCTTTCTTTTTTCATTTATTGACTTCCCTACCTCCCAATATAAAAGCTGCTTGATTTATAAGAAAATTCCCTACTTAGCAGGGGAGAGTTGCAGGTACTCGAGCAATGAAAAGATTATATGAAATACTGTGTAACTGGAATGCTCCAAGTGTGATAGAACACAGCAGAAGAAGCTCACAATTCTCTTACCTGGTGCTTTAACCAGCTTGATAATATTTTCCTTGTTTTTCAGCACTATAGAAATGATCTTGAAATTGAAGTATATAGCTAAGCAATACTCGATTTTTTTTTCAGTCCACTCTGACTAGATCGTTTGTTCCCTAAAACTAGGGTGTTCTGGATGTGGCCACTCTCATGCCCTATCTGTCAAGCTTAATTTCGGCCTGTTACTTCAGAGACCTCAGTGTCAGTTGGTCTCTTTGGGGGAGAACCTAACATTGACCTGAGTACTAGTATAGTCTGAAATTTCAGTGAATTAGAAAGGTCTTCTTTTGCCCCCATCCCTCCTCTCTCTTCTACTTCCCAGTGTCATCCTCATTGCTTAAAGCAAATAGTTGCCCATATTCTCAAGTAAAATATACTACTAGTATGCCATCATACTGTGTCATTTGTATGTGCAATATATGTACTAGTACAATCATTGGTGTACAATTTTATCTTCAGAAGACAGGAATGTAAGGCCTACAACATTCCTAATGGCTCCATCTTGGATGTACTATACCAACTGGACTCTTGCCTCTCTTGACTTTTTAAGTATATGTTTTTTTCTGAGTTTCTGGTAGCTTCTTGTCCCCACCTAGTCCTGTTGAGTCTTATTTTTATAAAATAAAAAGTATTTGGAAAAGAATATGAACTTATTATCTTATGGTCCTGAAAAGAAGCCTTAAGTCTGAGTCACTAGGCAAAGCCCAAGATACTACCAAGCTAGAGTTTCTTGAAAGCACTTTGTGCTTAGCTTTTCTAGCTTTCAGACACTGTCACCATTTCTCAGGGATACATTCAGTGCACGGTCCTTCTCTTATCACCATTAAGCAGTAAAGAGGCTTACTGCTACTTGGCAAAAGGGATGACATCTGGTGTGGGCTATGATGTTGCAACTTTTTTTCCTCTTTCTCTTTGTTTCATTCATTTGCAGTTGTCCAAGCCATATTATGTTGGAACTCTTCTAAGAATAACTGAAATTTTGAAAGCTTTGACTGTGGGAGGCATTATTTATAGACCTTTGTGGTTTTAAGAGGAAAAAGAATATCTTCCAAGCAGAGTTCTACTAGGAAGACTGCCCTCACCCCATTTTAGCCAAATACCATCTTCATTAGAATATTTTTCTGTAATTACTTATAAAAAGTTTCTTTTGTAAACACTGTATTAAAGCAACTCCTCATTTCTAAACCAATTCTTTCTTACCCACTGTATAAAATTTATATAACCATTAACACAATATGAAGTACATCTTTTTAGGAACTGTTAGGCCTTAGTATCAGAGATTCATCTTCAAAGGCTTTGGTACATAAGGGATCATTCACAGAAACCGAAGTATCTTTGCTTCACAAATCAGAGGTGTGCCTTCTAACAGAGTGTATTCCATTTTTGTGGCCTCAGTTGTCAAGTTCATCTCATAATACAGCCAAATTCTAAGAACGAAAAAGTAGAAAAGAAAAGGACTCCATAGCTAAATCAGCTCTGTCCATAGCCTTATCAGAAGTCCTATCTAAAACTCTGACAGATTAGTCAGAGATTAGTCAGACATGGTTATAGAGCCTCTCCAGCTGCAAAGGAGGTGATAGACTTCCATCTCCTGCACATGATGGGTTTGCTGTCCAAGGAAGACAAGAATGGGCAGTGGGTGAGCATCTCTCTTTCATATCATTTTCCTGCATATCACCTCTCCCAGAAGTCTCCTCTTTACACTTTTAACGAGCTATGGGCTCAAAGTTAAACACAAAATACAGAAAGGGACAACACCCAAATCATTGTGCATAAAGCTTTTAAGTATAATAAATAATTATACCTGTAGATGGTAAAATCCTACTTAAAACTATGGTAAGACCAACCACCTAGAGTATTAAGTAACTCATTCATATTTTGCCATTCTCGCAAAAGGAAAAAAAAAAAAACACAAGAGAAGCAAATGAAATTCAGAAATTCTCAAATCAGTGAGAAATGAAAGCAGTTTTTAACAACTTCTAAATTTAAAAAAAAATGTCTATAACCAAATATTATGCTACTTAGAGTTTTGGGTTTTACATGCCCTTATTTTATATATTGAAAAAGTACATCTGGGAGAAAAGACAGCATACAAGTAATCTCATAAAATCTTTAGCTTTTCCATAAAGTCGAACAAACTATAGAATATTTAGAATCAAATCACACTATATACCAAATACATATATATATATATATATCCTTGTGTATTCATTTTCTACTGCTACCTTAACAAGAACACTAACTCTGTCTTAATTGAGTCTTATTTTTATAAAATAAAAAGTATTTGGAAAAGAATATGAACTTATTATCTTATGGTCCTGAAAAGAAGCCTTAAGTCTGAGTCACTAGGCAAAGCCCAAGATACTACCAAGCTAGAGTTTCTTGAAAGCACTTTGTGCTTAGCTTTTCTAGCTTTCAGACACTGTCACCATTTCTCAGGGGATACATTCAGTGCACGGTCCTTCTCTTCTGCCTCCACTGTCTCGTCACCTCTCTGTGACCCTCGTAGTCCTGATAAGGATGTTTGTGATTCCCCTAGACCCACGAGGATAGACCAGGAAGTCTCCCAAACTCATTCCCTAAATTTCTCACAACTGTAGTCTCCTTTGCCAGGTGAAGTAATGTAGTGACAGTGTCCAGGGATTGGGACACGGCATCTTTGGAAGAATTATTCACTCAACCCCTCTTGGTGAAGTAGAGTATTTCAAAAACTATTCGAGGCCGGGGAGATGGCTCAGTCGAATAAGCTCTTTCCTGGCAAGCGCAAAGACCCGAGTTTAATCCCTGGTTCTGAAAAAAAAAAAAAATCACTTAAATGCCTGATCTTAACAAGATGATGTCAGAGGCAATTACTGCTGCTTTCATATCATCCTGGTCTAATTTACACTCAAAATAAGGACAGTTGATACAAACTAGATGGAGAATATATTTTCTCTTTGACTTTTTATTAGTACTTTTAGTTACTAAGTCTTAGTCCAAATTTTCCTAAGAATGTCCTTCCATGTGCCTATGAAAACTTATTCCTTTCTAACCTTGTTTTTCATTTATTTTCAGAAAAGCAAGACAACAATGAAAGGATTGCAACTATCAAGGGTCTTATACAGAAACTCCCTCCACCAAACCGTGACACCATGAAAGTTCTTTTTGGACATCTCACCAAGTAAGTTATAAGACATCTGGGTCTGTCAAATTGTAGTCATTTCCCAGCGGGCAACCTTTCATTTTAAATCTGTAAGACAAGGATCACCAAATAGAGCTGTCTCCTAAATATCTTCTATAGCTATAAGTCTTCCTTTACCCAGAGCTAGAAAATGAAGAAGTTTACAATGTGAGAACCTATCAAAGGATTTTCTGAAAAACTATTTTTTCTGGGCTTTTCAACAAGAGAATTTTTGATGACTGTCAAAACTATCACCTGATATGTTGTCAAATATCATGGAAATATCATTGGTTGTTGTTGAATATCATGGAACGAGTTAGAAATAATTCATACATGAGTTCAAAGCCAGTTCCACCATGTATACCAAGGTTCCCTAAACTTTCTATAATATGTTTTTAGGTCCTTTTATCTTTACAACATTGGCTCAGGTTGACAAAGTGCTACTCAGGTAACCAACTAAGATGGGAGTATTCCAGGCAGAGAGAGGCAAATATAAAAACCCAAAAACTCAAAGAGGATTCATTAAAAAAGTTGAAAGAAGGCCAAGAGAGCTCTTAACTAGTGAGCGGGGAGGAAATAGGAGCTGAAGTTCTAGACATTAAGTCAGTGTCAGATCACAGAGGGTTCTCATGGGCCAGTGAGAAATCTAGATTTCACATGTCACAGGACTTTTCCTCTTGTCATATTGCTTTCTTTATTCTCTAAATGTAAGGGGGAACTACTGACGAGCATTTGAATGAAGGAGTGGAAAAGGTTTCTCTGACTGCTGAGTAGAGAACACATTGAAAATGTGATAGCAAGATGATCTATTAGCAGAAAATCACATTAGAACAGGAGTGAAGATATCTTAGAGGTAGATCACATTGGATTTGCTGCTGTTTAGGAGATGGTGAGAAGAAAGGAGAAAGGAATTGTGCCACTCAAGTTTCTGCTTGCGTAAGTGGAAAGATGGTGACACAGCAAGAGATGGGTAAAACTGAGGGAAGAGCAGGAAGAGGAGGTTTGAGGTCTCCATTTTGGATATGCTAAGTCCACAAAGACTGTTATTCATTTGTCTTCTGTTAGCAGCTTCCTCAGATAAGGCACAACACAATACAAGTGATGAGGTTTGAGCCTCAATACGCATAGCAATAGTGAAGCACTATTCCAGAACAGTGAATTCAAATAGCAATTGTGCATTTTGAGATTAAATCCCTTTAATCACCTCAGTTACCTCCTTGTGAGTAGTCATTTCTCCACATTACTCAACTAGTCCATTACATGATTTGTAATTGTGAATGTAACACAAAATAAGCAACACAAAAATAAGCAACAGTGATGAGTATACATTAAAAAGTGAAATTTATCTACTAGTAGTTCTTAGGTTGCTGAGCCAAAGAATCCAACTTGTTTTAATGTATCCCCCCAGACCTGTTTCTAAATACATTCAAATATATGTGTGCCTGGTCATTTCTAATGCTAAATGAGCTCCTACTACAAACAATATTCTTCATCCATTCTATCTTCTATTTCATAAATATACTTGCCTTGCTCATTTTAATGATCAGATTAATTCTCCATGGTATAGAAACTCTAGAACCTTCTAAAAAACACACTGCAGTTGAGAATATACTTTGATCTAATGTTCCATTCTTCTTTTACCTTTAGAAAAGAGCACTGTCTCAAAATTGAGAATATCTCTTATTGTTGGAATGTCCCTCCTTCCCATGCAGCCACACAAGTACAGCAAACAACCTCATGGGATTCAATGAAAGGATCTTGGGAAGAAAAGAAAATAATTTAAAGAAATGGGAAGGGAGAGACATAGAGTCAAATCCTGTTCTGTACTTTACTCTTACTATGGTCTCAGGCAAGCAAAATTGGATTAAACAGTATCGCCCATATCTTGTGGTTATGAGCATTAAATGAGATAATGCATATAAAATGTCTGGCACAAGGTGAGCATTCCTTAAATGCTAATGTGTCTCCCTCAGGATTCTAACACACCGTGAAAGAGGTTTCAAATTGCAAGTAAATACTGGAGTTCTTATCTCAGTAACTTTAACTGGTTAAAGCCATAAAACAAATGGAAATGTATAGTCTTTAATGTTATGTAATACCTCCTCTTAGAGCTCTCAAGAAATATCCATTACTCTGCCTCACTTATTCCCTGTTTTTTCAAGTGAAACAAGAGCTAGAGAATGAAGAGACCTAGAGCCAGTTAAAGCTTCCAGAGCACACACCCAACCGTACAGTTGAGAATCTATCAGGTTGAAAACCTTCAAAAAATCAAATTACATTCGAACATTTTCTTCCTATCTCACAAGATCTGTTACACATTTTGGTCCTTATTTCAAATGAGAGTGGCAACTAGGGAGGAAAGAAGGGGAAAAGGAGGAAAGGCTGAAAAAGAATAATAAAAGAAGAAAAAAAAATAAAAACAAAGCTTTATAAGTAAGGAGGGGAAGAGGGGTTGAAAAGAGGATAGGGGAATGAGAAAAAAAAAAGCTTTAAGATGTATCATGTACAGGTACAAATTTCCAATGGTGAATGTGACCATTATGTATATCTAAAATGTACCAATAAACTCAATTAAATAAAAAAGATGAATTTTCCATGTCCATATTACATAGTTGCCAGTATTAATCAATTCTTGCTCATGATTCTTATACCTAAATGAATTTCCTAACTCAGCGAGAATTTTCACTTAAAATAACACAGATGAAAATAAATTTTTAAAATATGATCAGAATATTCAGGTATCACCTCATAACATTCTCATTTAAAGGTTTACTATTATAGATAAAGAAAAAAGTGTTACTTACCAGCCACCAACCTTTCTTGGGTGGTGTCACCATATTTCACTTTGTACCAATTCAGAAACTGAATTTAATTGTGCACAGTGTATGCCCACGATTATAGCTTGCTAAGCATTTTTTCCCTAAGTTTTTGATAAACAGCCAATCGTGGCATATCATCAAAGCTTGAGAAGACTAAATAAGAAGACTGTTTAACTAGAATTGAAATATATTCATGTTTGAAAGAATCATTAGAATGTTTTCTTTAGTCTTGATGCATTTTGTAGTTCTTCAGAAAATCTATCGTCAACACTTGTATGTAGTGTTTATTCCAAATTGTTTCAAATATATATATATTTTGAAGTTTGTTTAGTGAGGGTCAGGGAATGTAATGAAGTGCCAAAAATTCCACTTGACCTGTGTACTCTACAGTAAACAGAATAAAACTCCATTTTTGCCAAGCTCTGAGTTAAACATTCCCCTCAAAATAGAGCAATTACCAACAAGAACAACTTCAGTTGGACTAGAAGATGGATGTAAGTCCCACGCACAAAAGCTAGAACTTTAAAGGATAAGATTGTACAATAGTTGAACAGGAAAGGTAGTGTGCATGTCTAGGATCCTGATGCTTAATCAGTCTCAAGGTCAAATTCTATGCTTCTACTATCTTACTTGACAGAAGTAATTCCACATAATTTATCACCTCAAAGGTTAACATTTGAAATTTATATTCATGTCTGCTTTTACACACTGACATTGTGGTTCTAGGCCCTCCTAGGTCTGTAGTACCATCTGAATCATTACATAAGTGGGAGGTTATGGTGTACCTTTTAAGTGGGAGGTTATAAGTGTACTTTATAAAATATGGGTCAAATGTATGTCCTTAAAGCCTACTGTGGAAGGCAAGAAGGCAGAGTAGAGAGTTTGTAGAAAATGATGTAATTGCTGATGGACAGTAGTTAGAAGCCAAGAACCTGTTAAAGGAGTTGAATAACAAGGGCCAGCTATATAGCTCAACAGGTTAAAGCACTTGTTTAGGCAGGTCCAGGGACCAGGGTTCTATTCCCAGCTAGCTGTGCTGGTCCCACCGCCAGGACACACTAAGAAGGCTAATGAGACTGAACATGGTGATACATGCCTATAATCCCTGTGCCTCGGAGGCTGAAAGCAGGAGGATCACTATGAGTCCAATCTGTGTAGTGAGACCCTGTACTAAATACATTTTTTTAAAAAGGAGTTGAATAACAAAGAGGGATACACTGAAACTTTACACATCAGTTATACAAGTATCAATCAACAGTATTAACAGTGAAAGAGAGGATGAAACAAATCCAGGAGACCTCACAGAAGCTGTAGTTGGACTGGACCAATGGAATACAAATGTAAGAAATTACTTAATTCTAGACATTTTTCTAAGGCAGTGACCCAATCATTTTAACTTCCCTCATTTATGTCTTCTCCATACCCGGTTAGCCATAGTGATAATTCTGAAAGTGCAGTGCTGGATAATTGCACAAAACCCTCTGAGAGCAATAAAAAACCAAAAGCCAATATTATTTAGGAAAGTGTCCTTTTTCTTTTTACTAAGTGGATAAGAAGAGATGAGATTATATAAAATTAGTGAAATTGACTGAATACTATTTCAATGCATGTGCATTTAAAAATGCCTTCTACATTCTGCTGCTGGAGTATACTCATAAGCATATTTAGGAGAGCCATTGTAGGCAACTTACTTCAAGAATAAAGACATCAGGTGTTTTGAATGAGTAATCTTATTCTTTCTATTCCACATTAAGTAACAAAAGGGGCAAGTCTGTACAGATCACACTGTTTATGACAAGACTATTGCCCTGGCAGAAACTTGGAAATAATATGGGTGCCCAAGTGTAGGAGGAGAGTTATGTGCAGCGTTATAGGTTACACTGACTTAGTGATGTGTGGCTCGCTCATAGATTTATGTATAATTTGGAGAAAATGTATGTTAAATAAAATGAAAGATACAATATTCTACCTTCACAGAATATCATTCTATATCTGTAGAAAAAAAATTGCCCATAGAAAGTCTGTAAAAATATTTGTTCAAAAGTGAGCATTTCTCTCACGGAGTTGTTGAATTACATGAGGTTTCCCCTGTGCATCCTAGCCACCCCTAACTACAGTATAGAGGACAGTGAAGTTCAGAGAACAAAGAGAACAGACTTTGGAGTTAGGCAGACCTGAATGTGAGTTTTGGCTCTTCCACTTAACAGCAAGTCTTTTTTTAAAGAACAGGAAAACACACAAAAAAATAATAAAAAATCCAAAATGACATGACATCAAGGTAACAATGGTTAATATACTGTACATTGTTTTCATTTTTTAATTTAATTTTAATTTGGATTACCAGACATAGGCAAGCAAAACTGGGCAAAACTTACAAAAGAAAAAATTAAAGAGGGAACAAAAAATTAAATGGATTGCTCCTCTCAATAGACCAGCAGAGATCTTGGCCAGTGCTAGCTTCCATGCTGCTCCTCTATAAATGGAGATCACGATGGCCCCTCGCTGCTCCCGTGCTAGCCAGCAGAGCAATAATGCTTTCAAGAAGCCGTCCACAGTGCTCATGCGCACGGGTGCTAGGCAAACTGTGCATTGTCGTGTATATTTTATAGTAATGTAGATAGAAAATATTTTAGTGAAATATAGGAAGAACTGTTGACATGGCATGCAGTGAAATTGCTGTCAGAATCCCTGGCTTTCAAGCAAGTCTTTACCTCACCTCCAAATTTTTTTTCCAAAACTTGAGTTTTCCTTATTTCCCTGCCTCACCTGGTTCCTACTGTCCCGGTGAGGCCACTCTCACCTGTGATAAGCTTCACAGCCACTAATCTTGCCCCCAACCCCAACTCTGTTCCACCACAACTCTCTACCAACCCAGCTTATATGTCACTCCATGTCCTTAGGTCCAGTTCCGTTCACCATCCAGATGTTGGCTTGCTGGTATCCAGGATGCTCTATTTTGAGGCAGGTGTGAGGAGGCTAGAGGTGGCACAAGTCTTCCTGTGCTTCTTATCAAAAGTCAACCGTTGTCTCAGTTACTCTTCTCTCATTGCTGGGATAAATACCCAACCCCCAAAATGAAGGGAGGAAAAGTTTATTTAGTTCACAGTTACTGGAGGCTTCAGTCCATACTCAGCTGGTTCCAAAGCAGACCAGCACAGGGCAGAGAGCATCCTTTCATGGAAGCAGCAAAGAGCAGAGAGCAAATGCAGGAGTAACAGCAACAAAATGGCACCAGAGAGAGGAAGTCTCTCTCTCTTAAACTGCATTCAGGCTATCGCCCCAGGCTGGGGAAGGTACACACACCCATAATCCCAGCAGTACTAAGACTTATAATCCCAGTGGATCATGAGTAAGTCTCAAACTCTAGAAGTCCCCCCACCTCATAATTGCATGAGGCTTTGAGGGGACAACTAGACACAAACCATAATAACCATGTTCCAGAAGTTTCACAGGAACAGTTCTCTTGCTTTGCTGCTAATGTATCAGCATAATTCTCACAATGAGAATATCCTTCCATGCAGAGGAAAAAAAAATATTGGTTATATAGAAACTTCAGAAGTGAATTATTTTTATATTAGGCAAGGTAATATGCCAACTTCCTAAAAAGTGTAAAGGGAGGCATATCTCACACAATGGCATGAACATGCAAGTCACCACGCTCATAAACCAAAGGACCAAGAGATATTTTGCAGATGGTAGGGCCCTACCCTGTGCCTCACTTACCAGTGTAGACATCCCTACCAACTATACACCCACTTAGGTCTGGCATGGCCCTTTTGAAGTACAAAGCTGGAATCCCTGTTGCCACTGCTATTAGTAAGGTATTCTAACTATTGCTTAAGTCTTTTTCCACATTTTTACTTTCCAAGATAAAAATAACACATGATAATTACAGAAAATTTAGAAAATAAATACTAAACTTTTTCCACAGAGTGAAATTGAACTACTTAGCCAGATTTACTTTGTGGTGTGCATTTGGAAAGCCAAAACAATCTCAAAACTTTAAAGGATAATAACCCAAAGAGTACTCAATCTCCTTGCATGTATACATTATTTAGAGAGAGTGAAATGATTTAGAAATGGGTGGCCTTTAAAGATGAGTTACAGAGTAAGGAATGCAGCTCAGTGGTGGAGCATAGTATTATCATACACAATGTTCACGGTTTTATCAGATAGGTAGAAAGAGAGAGAGAGAGAGAGAGAGAGAGAGAAAGAGAGAGAGAGAGAGAGAGAGAGAGAGAGAGAAAGAGAGAGAGAGAGAGAGAGAGAGAGAGAGAGATGGTATAGGAAATAATAGGATTCTCAGATTTTAAATAGTAGGCTGAAAATTTATTTGCTTTATTTTAGATTCTTTTATAGGAGACTTGCGTGTTGTAAAATAAGTTAGGAAGAGAGCTTAAAATTTTTTTTTTGCATTGACTCTAAGAAAATCAGCCAGCTGTTCATAGAATTCCAAGGTGAAAAAATGATATGGCTGAGTAGACAAATCTCATGGAGACATGCCAGTTGAGCGCCTCGTTGAAAGGAGAAATAGTTGAGCTGTGGCTACTTTGTGAGATCAAACCGATATTTAAAGCTTCTTTGTGGTCTTCATGGATATTAAGGAAAATATTCTACAAAAGTATGTCAGAGACAACTTAAAGGATGGTCTAGAAATGTAAGGGCTGTGTTAGGAACTGAAGGCGTGCAAATAACTCATCCATTCTGTCTCTAAAACGGCTCTGTGGGCATCTGGACCGGAGGATGCAGATGAGGTATGGTTAAAGTGTGGACTCCAAAGCCCAGAAGACTTCACCCTTCCCTCTGGTCAGCAAGAGCAGTGGAGGGTGAGACTCTCTGCTGCCCATCCAAGCCTCTGAATGCTCAGGTCTGGTGTGCTTTGGAGCAGGGCATGTTTTTCTGCGCTCGTTTGGCACTGCGCTCTTTTTCTGTCCACTTTGGTCCTCCACCCAACCACAATACCTGATATCCAAAGACTTGCAAGCCACGGGTATTTTTACTGGAAATTAAGAGATGTGTGCAAATTGTTAGTCATTCTCGTTCTTGCAGTCTCTCTGTTTCTGTCTCTCTCCCTCTCACTTCCTTTTCCCCCCTGAGGGATGAGAGTTGCAAGTTGTTTGAAACAGGCCAGAAGCTTAACAGCTCCTTTGCTCGTGTGCTTCAAATGACACCCTCATCACTTTGAACAGCTAATGTACTTCCTATGGGTCTGAAATTCCTCAACTGGACTCCTGTGGCAGAATTTGGCCTGGTAGTTAAGAAAATTAATTACTCCCATCACAAGGGTGAAGCAATAGTTCCCAACTCCCCGTAGTAATCATTAAAATGTCATCTACTAAGGAGACATCTTGGCCCAGGATTTATAAGGTCTGAGAGCTAGGGACTAAGGTTCAATGATCCTTCCCATGGTGAATCCTTTTTTCAGAAGAAGGCTTTGGGAGATAAGGTTTTAAGACGGGAGTGAAACTATTACTTTATATCTTTTGATTTCACATTTGAATGGTAAAATTTATCACTGAGTCACAGAAAACAAAACAAAACTTAAATAACTACTGTCCCATCTATTATTCCTTCTTTATCCTTAGTGCAGCTCCACTTCCTGGAGTATTTCCCTCATAAGAGGTAAAAATTTTAGGTCATTCTACCCTCCCGTGCCGTGAATCTTGGCCTTTTACCTAATGGAAAGAATTGGGGATTTGGAACTGGAGACATAGGCTCAAGTCCCAACCTCAGCCCTTAGAAACTGTGCAACGTTGAGAAAATCTTTTAAAGTCTCCAACCATCCCTTCTGTTTGTGTGTAAAATAAGTCAAATAAATTCACATTTGTAAAAACGTGTGTTAATGATAAAGTTCTGCATAGTAGTTCCTATGGGAAGCTTTATGTCAGCTGTATTCCAGGTCTGGACAAGATCAGGGCTTAGTAAACTATGGCCCTTAGACAACATCCAGCCTGCTTCATTTTTGTCAATAAAGTTTTATTGGAATACACACACTTTTTTATGTATTCCTTGTGAATGCTTGTACACTACAATGGCAAGAGCCAGATACAGCAAATTGAACAAGAACTTCAACTACCTGAGGCTTATAATAAAAATTTTCTGACCTCTCAACTCAATGCTAGAAGCATGAACCATCAAAAAACAGTTAAAATTTAGCTTAGAAAAAGCAAAGAACAGAACACAGGCTACCTTTAAAGATGTTAGCTCAGCAGACAGAGTGTCTGTCATAAGCAGTGAACACAATCATCATGTTGGATCAAAACAGAATTTGTTTTAGGGTATTCCGTCCATGCACACTTCACATGGATTTAAAAAATGCCCAAATTTTCTATGTGTAATGATATGTTTTGTATATAACCTAGACCATCCTTTTGTATACTTAAAATCATCTCTAGATTACTTATAAGACCTAATGTAATGTAAGTGATATGGAAATAGTAATACTGCAATATTTAGGATATATGACAAGAAAAAACTCTATATCTACTTATCAAGAATCAAAAAGTGAAATACTACTGATCAGCACTTGGTTGAATCTTCCAATATGGAATCCACACATACAGAGGTTGAACGTATCATGCACTCAGTCAGGAAAACTACTGTGTGAGGAAGAAGTGGCACATTCTCTGAAAATGATTAGCAATAGAAAGCATGAAGAACAGGAGCAGGGTCTGTGTCTACAGTATTGCAGGTGAGTTAAGCTGTCAAGAACAGGCTTTTGCTTTGCAAAGCACTTTGAGTTTTCTTCGGTCAGTTTCAGAAAATTCTCTGAAGGGTCTCAAATGGCAGCAAAAGTGATCAATTTGTATTTATGAAAATCTGTGTGTAAACAGGATAGTTTCCAAGAGGTCCTTGTCATAGACCAAGCTAGAGATCCTAAACTAAATGAGTGGTGAGAATTAGCAACACCGATAGCTTCGGGAGGTGCTGTGTGGGCAGAGTTTGCAGGACATACATGTGCACTAGGAGGGCTGAGGGAGGGGCTTTGAACAGCCCACGGGCTTTGAGCTAGCTCGACAAGTGACACCTGTAATTCATGCATAGGGAAAGACCAAACTGTAGCATGATGTATGCTAAAATTCTTAGAACACAATGCAACAATGCAGTTTGTTCATTGTTTATATTAACAAAGTGTGATAAAGGATAAGAAATGTATTTTGGAAGTACAAGAAAGTTGAAATCTAGCTATAAGTTTGAGAGCTGCCAGTTTAACGAAGGCAGTGGAATAAGATTATCATATTAGTCAGCTTTGCCTTCACTAAGACCCAGACCAGCCACCCACATTAAAGGAAGAGAAAGGATTAAAACCAAAAATTCTACTGCAGTGGAGGCCTACAAAATTCTCATGATGATAGGACATTGGGAGATTTCTAACTATGGCCAGTTTCTATTCTTGTGTTAATTCTTTTTCTTTTAAAAATTCAAAGAAACACAGTAATTGGGCAGAAAAAAAGATGACATTTATAGTATAGTCATCTACAAATATTGGTGAGGGTGGAAGATGGATAGAATGCACTTGGCTCCCTTTCCTAGCAGGGCAGTAGCTCCAGCAGGTCCTGCTGCCTCGATCATTTTTATTCCCAAGAGATGAGGACTGCATCCCACTCATAGATAGTATTTTTTGTAGAATAAACCACATCACATGACTTTGTTAAATAGCATGGTAGTCGAATAGTGAGTAAATGAGTTCGAGGTAATATCAATGTAAACTTGGAATATTAGAAACAATATATTTGTGGCTATAGAAATATTTCAGTTTAAGGAGGCTGTTAATAAGTTGTTCTCAATATGCCTGTCATCATCTGATCTTTCTCTTTAATTATGATAGAAAGAAGAGTTGTACTCATACAATTGTGAAAAGAACCCAAACAACACTGAGGCCCCAAATTAATGACATACAAGCACAACAACTCGAAGAAACGAGGCTGAAAAAGCATCAGTCAGGATATCCCTGAGTATTTATCAGTAACTTAGAACCTGTTGGAGCAATTATCCCTACACAGTAAGATTGCCAGTGCTTAAGACTTCTTGATTATTTAGAATTACTAATAGGTCTTGGAATATAGAAAATTGCTTTTATGTCTTTTGTCATAATTCCATTAATAAAAAAAAAGAATCTTTACTAGTCCTAACCCCTACTGGATGAACTCCAACTTCTCCTTCCATCATTTGTTCCAGATTTATTAAAATTTCATATTCTCCTGAGTTATCTAGTGTCAAGTGAAACAAAAAACAATAACAAATTAAATACAACAAGAAAAGGAAAGCACCTTGGTTACCAAATCTTATCTCTCCTCTCAAATATACAAAGCCATGTGGTTCCTCTGCTTATACCAGACTTCAGACACAGCAGACTTCAAAGTGGAGGAGGGAAAAAAATCAACCAGACCTCAAGTCACCTGATTTCCAGTCCTCTCAACCACACTAAGCTTTCTTGCCAATGCTAATACTCAGTTGCATTTCCTGGGAAGCAGGAATAGTACCACAAAGAGCGAGAAGGATGAGCCAACTGTGATAGACGAACAGGCCCATCTCTCAAATTTTCTTTTTTATTGAACACCAGGTATCATCCCAGCCTGCTAAATCAAATTACCTCATTACACTAACTAACCAGTGAACCCTCATATGTATGTAAAAGATTTTATATATAAGTATATCCCCCCTTCTTTAATACA